TTTCCGTCGTTCCCTGTTGGTAAAGTTTGCGAGTGTTTCACACAACCAACTTCTTAATTAGTGCCATACACACTAATTGTACATTATGGTGATGGTTTCCGCCTTGGAAGTGCATGAAACCTCGAAGTTGGGGACATCGTATACCACTGGTTTGGACGATAACATCGTTCGAGACTTGGGCATGGAAGAAGGCAACAGGCTACCTGCCGTGGTAGAAAATATGGCAATTCCGGTCGCAGCGAGGAAAAGACGAGGACGTGGTTGTCTCGCCTACTTTTCAGTAATATTGTCAACGGAGTTTCTATGTGATGCCAGAATAGTCATTTGGTCAAACAAGGCCCGACCCCGCTCCCCCCGCCCGCAGCAGGATAACCTACAACACTCCAGCGGTGCGATCCCCTACGCCGTGCAGTTTTTGTGCCATCATTCAGGGCTCGCTTGATTCAATGGCCAGCTAGGACTCGTATATCGATCTTATCGCAACAACGTATAGACTTCGACACCGAGATGCATGCTCCTCCTCGCATGCAGCCGATTCTCGTCACAACTACTCGTTGCTTCGGCTAATGTCCAGTAGCCCCATATTGGGAGCCAAAGGATAGAGGACAGCTTCCCACGCCTCTTGTAGCTGGATATGCATGTCGCCAAAGCACTTCGATTCGCCGTCTGGACAAAGGCGAGGTTTCTGGAGTGAATCAAATGAGGTTGTTCGGTGGAGTGTTATCAATAGCGTAACTTCCTCAACCGCACGACGTACAAGAACAAATTGTCCAAGAGGTTATTTTTCATGCATACGAAAGGTTGACGACTATGGCGCGATTCGGTTGAGTGTTGTCAACATCGCGCGGGGTCGCTAATACTTGGGGTCGGTTTGTCGAGACCAGTTCTACGATGTGATTCATGGGGATGAGCCCATCACGGACGAGGATGAGAGAGGTATCGAGTCCGCGGCATACCTTGTAGTTCGGGTCATACTTGAATTGGTTGTCGTCCAAGAAAAGGAGATCCGTGATCAAGATCATGGTCAAGAAGATGACCACGGTCGCCTACAGTCGCGTGTGAATGGCATGCATGGAGACGTTCCCTCAAGAAGCGGAGATCCGTCCTTGATGACAGCGGCCAACGTGTGAAAAACAAACGTACCCACGGGATCCATGCCGAGTCAGCGGCGAAAGCAACAACGATGAAGAAGAGGATCAAGGCCACCTGGAGTCTCTGTCGCGTGTTGTAGAGCATCATGCGGGTAGGCAGGGGGTGACTTGAGGAGGTAGGTGATGTGGCTTGGCCGAGCAACGAAGAGAATTGTCGAAACGCCTAGTGTTTAAAACAATGTTTTAAACACCTTGGATCCCTCCCCAAGTCACTACCCTTGTTGTTTTTATTCAATATTTTTGACAAAATGAAGTTTTTCCCCCAAAACGCCCGCTCGTTTCTTAAAATTTGTCGGCTCCAGAAAAAGGCAACAGCCTTCGGTCGCGGTGGATGCCGGCCATTATCCATGATGGCGGCACTGACCCGAATGGGGACGGCAAAGCGAGGCGTATCGTACACCTGTATTTGCCTTGGGCCGTGAACATCAATGTAGCTGTGGCATGCCGTCGACACGCACGAGCCTCGGTCGATAAACGTATTTCGGCGACTTCTCGTATAAACCCCATGGTCTGCAACTAGGCGCAAGCTTCATGAGTTGAGAGGAGGTCCTGACATGGAGCAGAGAATAGTGGAGGTGGTAGTTCGTACGTCGTAGGCTGGCCTGACTCGTTATCGTGTCCCCTTTGGCTTTCCCGTAGCAGCGAACGGCATCACCACCGGTGGCGACCTTTGTACGGTGTGAAGCGATGGTAGGGACACCATTCCTCGATGTTTCTGCTTGAATTTCGTCCGTTCCAATTTTGCATTCAGCTCGCACAGTTCAGCCGTTAGCTTGGATTCTCTACGCATCGATCCCTCATGCTACTGTTGGATCCACCGAGGTTACCGAGGGGTCAAGCCTGTAGAGTGCCCCGCTTCGTCATCGCCAACTTCATCCCTGATGCGTCGGTCTGGCCATGCTTTGGTTGGTTTGGTCAGCACTGGCAGTTTACTCGCGTTCTAGCATCAACTCCAATCGTGAGGTCGAATGCCAGTAGGAGCGGTTAGCTGTGGACATGATCGTACTTGCTTTCGCCGCAACAACTTGGAAGGGATTCGTGGCGACCTGTGCACTCGGTATTGCCTGTCTAGGACATCTCGAATGGGCTGTGGAGGGAGGGGATCGTATCGCTCGGCTGTCCCTTTCTTCATGGCAAAGTACTCGCGCACGACGGCTTGGATTCGCCTGGCGGCGTTCTCAACGTGCTGCTGGTTTTGTTTGAACACTCGGTTGTGAAGCTGTCGTGGTTTCGAGATGCGGTCGAGGGCGAGACGAGGCAGCGCCCAACGAGTGGTCGACAGCACCTTCGTCTCGACCACCCATTCGGGCGTTAGCTGCAGCGCCTCGAGAAGCGGCACTGTCGGCAGCTTCATCACAGCGTTGTTGTCGACGGACAGGGTCTGCTGCCGCGGCGATTGAATTCTGGGCTCGTCACGAACGACGATTGTTTTGGTTGTATCGTCGGTGGATGCATCTGGACTGTTGAGCATGAGCAAATCACTGAGAACTCTGCAGGACTGCGGTGTTGACGGATCCAAGGGCTCCATTGCAACGACATTGTCGTCGGAGCCACGAAACGCTGTCATGCCGAGTGGAGTGATGGGCCTCGCGGTCCCAGGCAAGCCGCCATGGGGTTCCACGACCCGTGGCGATTCTTTCGAGTTGTCAACCTGAGTACCGATCGCATCTTCGACCGCCTCGATGGGATTATCCAGAGTTGCAGGGGCAGCGTGTTCAAAGCAAGATGCCCGCGACGATGCAAGCGAAGCGTCGTCCACCGGTTGCTCGATGATTGCTTCCGTGTCTACGTCCGCATCCGGTAGAACATCTGAAGGAGGGTCGAACAACACGTCGTAGCCAGGACATGGCCGCTCCACCTCCTTGATCGGCTCCCCAACAGTTTGTTGCTCGTCTAATGTGGATGGCCCCGCTTGCAGAGTATCAAGACTTGCTTCAGAAGGCGCTCCTGTCAAGGTGTGTCGGGTTGGAGTTGAGTTTGTCGGAGAAGTCGCGGAGTCCGTCGCGTCGCTAGATGTTCGTACGGTGTGGTCCAAGTCTCCGTCATGTGGCTGATGATCGAGATCCCCAGTCGGGGATTTGACTGTGCTGGCATCACAAGTGACTGCGTCGGCCACGGTGTGTTCGTCACACGAAGCGCCGTCGTCCGCTTCCGTTGTCTCGAGTGCATCGCAAGCTGCCAAATCGAGTGCATCCAGTGCACGTCCGTCCGACGAGTCCATGGCACACACTTTGCCGTCGGATCCAACGTTTCCATCGCGTCCATTTTCTAGGTCGTGCGCCAGACGTGGCACAAACGCGGACTCCGCTTCCGTCTGGCACGCCATCTCCATGCGCGCGGCGATTATTGGACAAGAGTCGGTTTGCGTTGCGCCATCGCTTGTCAGGTTTGCCGTGAATTGAGCTGGGTCGACGTTCGGATCCTCCGGCGGTGTTTGGCTCGAATCGTCCGTCATGGCGCGGTCCGCATGACACGCTTCGTCGATCGGGACAGTCGCGACGTCCTTCCAAGAGTGTTTGGTCTGCATGGCGATGCCGTGCGATGTACTGAGCGCTGGCACAACGAGCGGAACCACTGGAAGGGCTGGCGGCCACTCATCCATGTGGGATCTGTACGGCGTGTCTGCGATGGATTCAATCGTGACGTCGGACGCGAGGGATGCGCCGCCGTGATGCTGCCAAAGACGATTGCCGCTCGATTTGGACGATCTGTCGTCGTCATCGACCAGGAGAGCCCAATAGCAGGTTTCTTTCTGCAGGGAACGTTGACATCCGTCGTGATCGTGTGCGTTCAGTGGCGCCTCTCGAATCACTTCAGCCAAGGCGACGGTCGCTTCCAGCGGGATACATTCGAGCGCTTCCGCGGTGGCATCCTGGTCGGACGGAATCGGCGCCACATGATCCCGCTCGTCGTGGAATTCCGGCGCGATTGTATTCAGAGCGTCGTCTGGATCGTTCCGAGTCATTTCGTCGGGGTCCAAGCTGTCACTCGTTTGACTTGTTTGAAAATCACAAATGTGATCCAGTTGCACATGCTCATCATTGTCGGGATGTACGATGCGCACGGATTCGCCGGAGAAGGTACAATGGCCTGCTGGACCGACGTCACTAGCCGGCGGGCCATCGTTCTCGACAGTGGCGCGCTCGGCGACAAGCAAACGAGTCGAAGTGACCAGCAGCGCCGACAGAGCTTGGTGGGGAGTTGCTGCATCCATCACAAAGGTAGTCCATGTCGGAGGAGATCGAGGACGAGTCGTCTCGAACAGCAACGACTCCAACTTTACTTGGTCGTCGGCAGGAATTGGGCCATTCGCGTCCACTTCGTTGCAACCTCTACTGACGCAGGTGGACTCGATGCACAAGCGATTCCAACACAGAACCTACCGATGGAAATGGCGAAATCGTGCCACGTTTTGGACGAATGCGACTTCGACGTCAACTACCAGGTTGCTCACGAGCCGTTGGATGGAGTCGGCGACTACGGCGTCGGCAAATTCCACGGTACTGGGAATGACAACGTGTTGAAACACCGCATCAAGTACAGCATCCAAAACGTCTTCAATCGTGCGCGCCTCGACGCGTTCTGTTGCGTCCCGCACCACGCGGCGCATCCATCGTGGCGCCCACACTTTTCGACATGTCCTACGTCAAGGACGTGCTTAGGCATGGCATGGAGTTGCCCAGATCACGGCTGGGTCAATGCGCAGGGGTGCACACCATCTCAAGCGAAAATGGGTCTGTCGAATGTGCGGCTGTGACACGATGTGCATCGGGTGGTCGCAGAAGACTCGTTGCGATGGTACATGGCGGTAGCTAGCCACGCCATTAGGTTCGCACAGGTCCACCATCGAGACAAGAAAACGTACAACGTGGTGGACGTGCTGGGAATTTTGTGGGTCTCCCATGCCTGGCTGTCGACCCACAGCGTCGCCAATCTCTCGACTCGCGGCGACAGACGAGAGCATATGTATGTTTCGATGGGCGTGAGCGCAGCGGGGCCGTCCCAGGCCGACCACGGCACTTGCCAGCACCGCGTCGAGTTGTTCAAGGAGGCGCTGATACGGTGATAGAATTGTCTAGATTCCACATCCTCGATCGTCATGATGTTTTGCATGATGAGGAGAGTACCGAAGAAAGACAAACGTGGTCGGTCGAGCAAGCGACGATTTTTCAACTGCTCGGTGCCATGCTGGTTGGACGGCTGGCAGCGACGACGCGAGAAATACTCGATTGATGGCCAAGAGAACGTCGCCAACAGCCACTTGTGGATGACTGGAGCTGTGGACCACTGCGATTCCTCGAGTCGTGGCCGGCGACGATAGCGGGATGGCAGGAATGCCCTGCGGTGGCTGCCACAAAACCTACACTCGACTGATTGTGCCGCGTGACCATTTTCCGAACGCGGAATGATACCTCAAACGGCCACGGAGCCGGGGTCACCATTCGCAGCTCGTACAGCATGTTGCGCGCATTCTCGCGAAGGTGTATGTGCGGCGGCAGTTCTAGGGGTGCGTGAGACGATTCCATCAAGTGTGCCCATCGAGATAGGGCCATCACGTACGGGGGAGGTGCAGCTCCCGCTCCAACGCTTCGTTAAACACAACATCACAGAGATGCTGCCACACTCGATTCATCGCGGTGTCGACTGCCTGCATGTCATATATGGCTGTCAAGTTCTCAATTATGGCTTTGAGGTAGGGACCTTGTCGATCGTGCGATGATTCGCAAGACCTTGGCCCTCGAGGCATGCCAAGAAGGTCTGCACCACAGACAAGGCCAAGCTCTTGTCTGTAAACCAAGACTGCTGGCCATCCACGACAGGGCTCGCAAAGAGTTCGCCTCGGTCGGTGCAATACCACGTCGAGCCTTGCCACGAAAGATCGAGCACAGCGCCAGGGGAAGGTACACGGGCGGCGCTCGCCGAGCTCAGCGCTGCACACGCCTGGGCATAATCGTGGCTGAACCACGTTTCAAGTGTGACGACCTTGTAGAGCCCTGTGAGGCGACCCTACCGTGCAAAGACGAGAACGGTGGGATTGTCATCGGATGCCATCGTGGCATCGTCTAGTTGGGCGAAGATGGTGGAGCCGACAACGGGAGCTGTGGAAATGTCCATGTCGTTCACAGCAACGAGAAAGTTGCCAGGGCGCACGGCGTTGAGTCCTTCAAATGGACCGTCCATGGCACAGCTCGAGGTGTTGGTGACGACAATCGCGCCAACAGCATCACACACTGGCGACAGCGGCTGCACCGTTCCATCGGGCGGGGACACTGCCAACTACGCTCGCGGCCGTCGGTGAGGCTGTAGTAGCGCGCCGACGCACCTCCAGGTTCCAAAACAATCCCGACGTCGACACTCGGGCCCATCCCGCCGTCAACCGCACGAGAAACAGCGCGTGCGGGTCGACCATCGCAACGAACCCCACGACGCTGCCGCGCTTGTAACCGGTGGCAGTTACAATCCCAACTCAATCAAGCGCTGGCGTAACTTGAACGAGGAATACTGTCGTCCGTGGAGCTGGACGAGACCGCGGGTTTGCTCGCCGGCAAGCGAAGGGACATCGATGTCCAAGCGTGCTTCATATCCGGCACCAGCTCACTCTCGGGCGATAGCGGTGATGCCAGTTACCAACAACATCAACTGCCGTGACACCCGATCGTTACACGATCGACCGAGGCATGGTGACGTTGAAGGTGGTCGCCCGGCGCCGTGCCAAGCAAGATGCACTGCGCACGACGCCCCACGACCTGTCGGCAGAACGGTCGGACTTGGGGCGCATGCACTTGCAAGCATTGGAACTACACGACAAGAAGCTCAGGTTGAGCCACCAAGGCCATACCGACGACGGCGATGCCATCACGTCGTCGGGTCATGTGCTGTTGGAAGTGCAGGCACGGCAGAGGTTCATACAGCTTGTCGTGACGTGGCGTTGTAGACGGACGAGTCGATCATTGCGATGAACCAACGACTCATCCGAGAGGTAGCGAACGATTCGAATGGTGTTGCCTAATTGTCCATGGACCTAGCGGAATGCGCTCATCCGGGAGAAAGAAGTGTGGCAATCCCAGCTTCACACCCAACACACGAACCTCCAGGAGGTGCTCCAAGCAACTCGGCTGCTCAAGCTGAAGATTCAACACAATCAGAAACCCGTCGACGGCTGCCCTGCCATCGCCACACCGACTGCGCCTACGTCCCCCGCGACGCTATAAATACATCAGCCTAAAGTTAGCATCTCTATGTTGAATTCCATCATTCTCCCTTCCCCGCGCGCACAGTGGCCGTGCCATGAACATCCTCAAGAAGTCCTTGACGAGGAAAGAAAATGCTGCGCCGGAAGCCCCGTCCGATGACAAAACGCAGGGGGACTCCAAACTATCGAGAGCGTCCGCGGGGGCCGCAGCGACAACACCCCCAATCACTGTCAACACGGCAGGGGAAGCGTCCCCCGGAACACAAATTCGCCACGGATCCGTGCTGATCGACACACGTATGTCGGACAGTATCTTCGACCACATCCTCGGTCGCGGTCGAGCCATCGACGTCGCTGAAGCCGATTCAAAAAAGTTGACCAAGCCTGCAACCCCCACCATCCGATTTAGCACGATGGATTCGAACGTGGAGTACTGGGACAAGGACGGCGTCCACCGCCGATCCACCACGATTTCGAAGCGCATGAACTTGCGGGGCGTGGCAATCCCGAATGCAATCGATCCTTTAACCTTGGTCGACACCGGGACCGATGACCCGACGCCATCGTCGCCTCGATCGCAAAAAGACATGGACCGTATCGCCAAGCAGCAAATTATGTCGAAACAAAACCACATCGAGGCAGTCGATGCCGCCCTCCAACGGGCCCTGGCCGAAGCGTACAAATCCCCGCCCCTGTCCAAGTTGGCCTTGGCCGCTGCCCAACACACTGCCAACGCTCCCTCCAAGCAGCTGCAGTACGAGACCAAACTTTCATGTGATGCATCCCATCTTGTATTCTGTAGGTTTGTCGACGAAGACGGCAACGTCCGTCGACTAAAGCGCAGTGCTCACGACACGCCCCGTAGCGAGCCGCCAGAAACCCCCACGACGTTTGTGTGACCGAAAAAGGTCGCAGGACACTGCCACCCACCGAATGTGTCGGTGGGGCTCTCCTGCACGAGCTGATGAACACGACCCATTGAATTGTTTGCGCGGATGTGATGCCCGTCGATCCGTGCACATTTTGGTCGACTCTTTCTACCTCCAATCTCACGTCGCACGAGCAAGTGCAAGCGCTGCTCGGGTTTCTCTGACGCTTGACGTCGTGGGCAAGACGCAGTGGTGGACTCGGTCGAGATGTGGGTTTCCGTGTTACAGATGCTTTGTGTTGCGAGCGTTGGCAAGTTTCGCGGTCCGCTCCATGACGACGCGGATGTTGCTCATCGACGTCTGGAGCACGGACCACTCGTTCAAGCTGAGCGCTTTTTCCCCGGTTAAATAGTTGGCTTGTCGGTACACGAGTTTGGCGGGGGTGTCCGGGTGGACCACGTCGGGTTTCTGTTCCTGCGCCTCGTGGTCGGAAGCGTCGTCGCCGCTGCTGAGAAAGTCGTCGGGGTCCAGGGGGGGCAAAGCGTACGGGTCCAACGACGACGGGCGTTTCCCAGAGGACGCCACGTCGTCGTGGTGGACGAATGGCAGGGAATGGAATGGCTTTTGAAAAGACTACGAGATCACATCGAGTGTGGGGTCGCTGGATCGACCAAACGGCGTCGTACCGGGTCCCACGTCACATCCTGGACAATTTGCTCACAGAAGCGACATATCGGCACTTCGTCGTAGCACTTGGGGGGTCGGTACTTGGCGCTGTCCCGGTCCGGCGGCACGTAGCCCCACCGCACGTACAGCTCCATGATGCATCGAAAGCTCACCTTGGCCGGCAAGTTGATGGTCAAGTGCGAGATGTGGCACAGGCCGCACTCGCGCCGCTTCGACGCACCAAACCTAGGGGGCATGCACGGCGTGTGTGAGAGCTTCCGCGCGCGGTCTGAATCAATTTCTGGATCTCTCTTTGGTCGCCGCACCGTTCTTGCTCCAATGCGCGATAGTACGGCAGCGATGCGCCGGCGATGTCGTTCGAGGCCGTCCGACCCACGGACGATGGAGGAAGTGCAGCCGGGAGGACTTTGGCCATTGCTTTGGCTTGCTTGTCCTGGAATTGTGTTTCGTACCGCATTTCCCGCATGCCCCTCTCGATGGACTTGATGGTGGTGGACGTGCGTTTCCAGTCGGTTTGGTCGAACTTGAGTTTGGGCAGCGGCCCCCCGTCGTCGCCGTTCGACGTGGACGATGTCATCGGAGGCACCTCGATCGCTTGGACGACGGCCTTTCGCTGGAGTCGTTTGTCGCTGGCACTGCGTTGTTTGATATGTTTTCGGCAGGCTGGAGATGTTGTGTAGGCTGCCGGGGTTGGCACGTCTTGGTTGGTAGTGCTCCTCTTCTCGGGGGGCTCGGACGTGGAATGGGGGGCGGTGTGTTGGCTCGGTCTCTTGAGAGGGCTTTGCGCTGCGTGGAAGGCATCCATGAGCGACAATGTCGCCTTCTTGGGAAGCGCTACCAAGGCCCGGTTCAACGCTGCATCGGAGGAACGATGTTGTCCCATGACTCGAACTTACGATTTCGAGCTGGCGATGACACGAGCACGCTGATGGTCGACTGACTGGGAGTTTTCGGCTCGTACGAGTCGTGGAAGCGCAGGAGAAAGTCTACCATACACTCGGCCAGGCTCCAGTCGGCATGGTCAGTGCGTAGAGTTCCGAGGAATGGCCGAAGTCTAGCAACGAATCTCGCGCTCCAGCCAAGGGGGGATTGTGAAAACCAACGGAGACGTTCATACCTGTCATACATACCCATCCACGTGTCGGCAGGTGGATGGGGGCGCTTCATCTAATGACGGAACATCAGCAAGAAGTTGTTTCACATGGCGGATAGAGACCTGGTCGAGGTCGACTTTCAGGGCATGCAGGCAATGGGCAAACTGGTGTTGCCGGAGAAACTCCTCCACGACAAGGAGCGTGAAGTCCGCGAGGTCCGATGAGTTGTCCGGTGGACCCTCCACCTGATGGCGGCGGTCCGACGTGGGTGGGAACGAGGCGTCCCATTGCAGCGTCGGCATCGTCGGCGGCCCGTTCGCCGTTTCGTGAATGTAACGGTTTCGCACTCTGTTGTGAACTTCGACATGTCAAGGACCCAGGCTGCGCCGAGTGAACGATCTGCCATGAGAAGTCCAACGAAGAATGCGCCACAACACTTGATGGCAGTAGTATGACCGACGTTGTTCGAACTATGGCTTAGCTTTGATCTGCCCGGGTTTAGCAGGCTTGGTGCTGCCCCCCTTGAGTTGTTTGGCGTCTTTCTTGGGCGAACTGGTTGCGGTCTTGAGAACGCGGACCGCAACGGCCCCCGAACCCCCTGCCGGCACACTTTCTCTCACGTCGGCAGGCGGCGTTGTATCCGTGCTTGCCTGGACTTCGCTAGTTGGGATGACGATGGACGAAGGCACGTCAACGGGTTGGGACAGCCATATTGGGGTGCCTTTTCGTTCGACACCGTCTAAGACAGTCTCGAGCGCCACTGGAGGGGGGTCGCAGAGGAGGGTATCGTACTCGTCCCCAAACGATTTCTCGAGAAAGCAATGGCGCTCGGTGGCCGAAGGGGCGGTTGACTCGGTCGACGTCGGTGGCTCGGACAGCTTGAGGCGACTCAACAAGAAATCTGGGACGGCGGCTTTGAGTTCGACGTCGGACAACATGCGCTTCACGACGGCAGTGTTCCATGGCTTCCCCTGCTTCTTGTTCTCCACGAGTTTGTACAAGAGCTCTGCGTCCACGCACAGCGGTCGGTATTCCTACCGTGCCACACGCGGATTCACCGCCGTCCGTGTCGAGTAGCTTCAATGCTCTACCTGCGACGTGTAGTGTTCAGGCACATAATGACGAGGACACTGTGCGCTCGGACTTCGACAAAACGGTACTCGATGCGGTCATTCGTTCGCCAATACAGCTTGACGGCGACGTGGAGCTGTCGCGTGGGCCGAGGCGAATACAGCTCTGGAAACGTTGGCGGACCTTTCTCGGGTCGTCCAAACTGCTTGGCGAATTCGTCCATGCTCATGGACGGCCCCGACCCACCGGGACTCTTGACGTTCTTGTGCATTAAGTAGTGGAACGCGGCAAACTCGGCCATCGCCTCCGCCGCCGCTTGGCAATTCCCAACATGCTAAAAACACATCATGATCCTCTCGTTACATGGCGAAACGACTGCCATGTTGCGGCACTACACGAATGCGCGGGCTCAAACATGAAAGTTCTTCCCGGAACGAGTGACAAAGGTACAAAAGGCTGAGGTGTTGGCTCGCCCATCACGTCCATAAAGTCTAGACGAAAGGATCCAGCCCCCGAACACGCGTCCGTGCTCTGCTACATGAACCACGTACAAATCAACAGCACGATGCTGGCAAGGCAAGAGAGCAAAGGAGGTTTCTACTTTCAGAGAGTCCTGTTATGTGAAGTTACTCGATCGTCCAACATCGGCCCAAGCAGACGAGAGACCACGTTGCAGGGTCCACAAGGGGGAAGGTGCATCGCAAGGTGCATCGATGGCTTAGTTGCCTTCGGATTGGAACTTGTACGTGACGTGGCACTTGCCGCAGTAGTGGCGGTCAAAGTGGGTGGCCATGAACACACCCGCGCCGCATTCAGGGGCAGGGCATTCCTTTTTCAGGCGCTTAATCTTGCCATTGTCGTCGACCTTGTAAAACTTGAGCACAGCAAGTTTGACCTTCTTGTGCTTGTGCTTGATCTTCTTGGGCTTGGTGTAGTTCTTCTTTTTGCGCTTCTTGCCACCACCACGCAGGCGGAGCACCAAGTGCAAGGTCGATTCCTTTTGGATGTTGTAGTCGCTCAACGTGCGGCCATCTTCCAATTGCTTGCCGGCAAAGATGAGGCGTTGCTGATCAGGGGGGATGCCTTCCTTGTCCTGGATCTTTTGCTTCACGTTGTCGATCGAGTCGGATGGTTCCACATCCAACGTGATGGTTTTACCCGTCAACGTCTTGACGAAGATTTGCATGGTCCTACGGTGGAAGAAGAGGGAGGTCAGCGCAAGCTCACATAACTACGGACACGCGCGCCATGGCGCGCAGTCCGATCCTCATTACACGAGCAAGCACTACGCACCTCGCTGAAAGTAGTCAAGTAACTCAGCAAGTCGCACCGTGCCCACGAAATCGGCGTCGGTGGCCAACCACTGGAAACGCACCAATCAAATCGACACGGGGTCGAAATCCACCCAATCCATTCGCTGGATTCGTGATACCGTGAAAATCGTTTCGAATTATGGTATTATATTGTGGAGGGTGGCACGATACTTGGGATTTGTATGGACAACGTTCACCTTGTCCACCCATGGAATTTTGGACAGTTTATGCAAAATATACATGAAATATTTTGCCAAAATGGCTGGAGAGGGTACTATATATTCCCACAAGACGGCCACTGAACTCAATATTGCGTGACATTTTGTAAAAAAGTCGGAATATTGGCCGAAAATGTCGCGAACTGAAAACGTGCCGCTCAAATTCAAATGGCGACAACTGATTGGAGGAAAGTCAACTCGAACGCATCTGAACTGTGGCAAGTAATCATGCGTCGCATCGCCAACCCCATGGAGAACGCCGCTGCCGGCGAGAGGGAGGCCAAGCGGACTCAAATCATGCGCGCGATCCTTCAGAAGGCATTGGATGCATCTGTTCACAAAGCTAGTCTCATCGATATGTCGTCACCGGAACTTGAAGCGAACGGGCGTCAAGTGATCCTCGGAATTCGACAACGAATAGAGGTGTGTACTCGTTGGGTTTGCGTTGCCATCATGGTAGATCGACTTCGTAGGCTGAGATTGAATCGCTCAGTGCAAAGTATGACCTAAATTCAAAGTTTCTCGAGCTGGAGAGACTCCTGGAGTGGCATGAAAAGTCTCAAATCGGCCAAGAAGTCGGCCTCACAGCACCGTAAGAATCCAACGATCTCATTCCGTGAACCACATACCGTGAAACTTTAAATCGAATCGCTAATGAGAGTAGGCTCGAGATTGCCGCCGCTCCGCAAGCAACACCCCAGCAACTGATGCAGAAGGAACGCATGAGGTTAATGATGCAAGAAAAAGCTCGGTTGCAGCAGCAGCTACAACAAGTATGGATGGAGGTGCTTGGGGTCAGCTGACGGTATGATGTCTGTAGGTACAGGATGCCAACGCTACGCTCCAAGCAACAATGCACGACACGGAATCTACATGCACGTCTTTGCTCGACGACGTTCAACGAGATTTTAACACCCTTGGCGCGGTGTAACATCATATCTGTCGTCTGCTTCTTCACTTATCAACACCCGACTTTTCTTACTTGCCCAGCACACGTAAGGCATACATTGAGCACTTGTATCTTTGTAATCGCACGTAGTAAAGCCTTGACGCTCCCATACTATTTCATTCGCCTTCCCTCAGTGTCAGCGCAACCACTATGGCCTTCACGGCACTGCAGCTCGTTTTTACTTCGATGACCTCACCATGATTGCATGAGGTCGCTCAGGCCAATCCATGCAGGGGCGGTGTGCCTAGTCTGGACCACAGATGAGGAGCACCTGGGAGTCGTCTCCGGCGAAGGACGTCGTTCGTTTTCGAGAAAATGACCTGCACCGCGTTATCCGGACAATTTCGAAATGTTCCGGATAGCAGGTTGTCTTGACGGCTCCTGGCGCCACATTTTCGAATTGCGTGCAAGATGAGTGCCAAGACTACAGCGGAGGCGAAGAAGAAGTACGTCCTGGGTGATACCGCGGCTTAGGGCGGCATTAGTTGCTGTGTAGACATGACTGATTCGGTGGTAATGTTGTAGCGAAGGCAACGAGTTCTTCAAGAAAGGAAAATACGCGGAAGCGATTGAAAAGTACACGGATGCGATCAACTTGGACCCGACCAACCATGTGTACTTCTCAAACCGAAGCGCGGCATTTCTTGGTCAACATTGTTACCAAGAAGCAGCGGATGACGGTGCAAAGTGTGTGGAGTTGAATCCTCAGTTCGTCAAAGGTACATTCGGTGGGGGAAGAGCATAGCCTGATGAGAATTGCAGGATACCATCGTTATGCGCTGGGGTTAAAAGGAATCAAGCAGTATGTTAAGGCACTCGAAGTGTTGAAGGCAGGTCAAAAGATCGATTTCGATAACAAGGACTTGAACAAGCTCATCAACGAGGTGGGTCCCTTTGCCATGAGGATGTCATCTCACCAATATCATTCAGATCGAACCGTTGCAAGCCAAAGTCGAGCAAGCTCGCCGATCTGGCTTGAACCCTTCCGAACAACTCAAGGAGCAAGGTACAGCTTTCAGTTTGACGCTTCCGCTCAAGTATACACAGGAAATGACTATTTCAAGGCTGCCTCGTTTGAAAAGGCCATTGAAGTGTACGGAGAAGCAATCAACGCATGCGAAAAGGACAACTCACCCGTGGCGATCGCGTGCTACAACAACCGTGCTGCGTGCTATCAACAGCTGAGCAACTTTTCCGCTGTCATCCGCGACTGCTCCCATGTCCTCGAATACGAAGTACGACCGATCCATTCCATGTCGTTGAATCCAACCTATGCTTGTCGATTCTTATTACTGTGGTGCCATGTCCGGTAGCCCGAGAACCAAAAAGCGCTCTTGCGACGAGGTTTGGCGTACGAAGGATTGGAGCGCTACCGTCTAGCACTGCAAGACATTCGCGCAGTGTTGGCCTTGAATCCGTCCATTGAGGCACGTCCACTCGAATTTATCGTTGACGTCTGACATCTCGCATAGATCGCCAACAAAGCCCAACATCGTCTGGGTGCTGCTGTGCGATCGCTCAAAGAAGACAAGTAACGCAGGGATACAGCATACAAATATCTTGACTGTGAATCGCCTCCAACGAAAGTTATAAGCTGCTTACTCGTGTCCGTACGCGTGCGTACCCAATAGGAAAAGACAACGCACGATAAAAGAGAGCACCAACACCACACAAGTCTGTTAGGATGAATAGAGTGCAATCGAGTGCGGCAACAGTGTTCCTGGCGAAGGGGATCCATTACGACGAGGGGCCGTCGCCGCGGCAACCAAAGTGGAACTCGTTGAGGACCGGCCAGGACGCAATACAGATGGGGTCGGCGCCGGAGCGGATGTAATGAACCAGAGTCAACGCGGGGCTCTCGCCGTCGTGGAGGGACGTCTTAAAGGCGGCGGGAAAGTCGGTGGTGCCTCCGAGGTAGTGGTCAAAGTACATGGCTCGGATCTTGACGATTTCTCGGTCGATCTCGTCCGCGGCGAGTTCGAGCGCCTGGCCCGCCGCAGATATGTCCACGCGCCACGCCCAGAGCGCGTTGACGTGCACGTTCGGGTTGTTGAGGGGATATGACAACGTTGTAAAGTGAGGACGCGTTGAGGGCAGGCTTGCAGGCGGCGGCGAGTGGTCGCGGCGCCGGCCATGTCGCAGTTGGAATAGACGTCCCCGAGCAGCCCCTCGAACTGGTAGACATAGCTGTGCTCGTTGACCTGGGTGGCGTCGGTCATGGCGTGGTGCATGATGGGGAAGCCGGCGAAGAACGCCTTGACGCTGGGCTCGTGGTGCACGGGAACGGTGGTCGTTGACCGAGCAGCCTTGGAAGGCCGCGGGCGACGTGCGGCGCTGGGCTTCGGTGAGGTGGTGGCCGCGTATGCGGCACTCGTGGTAGATGGTGTGGAAGGCGTCGATGGTGGCGTGGTGCAAGTCGACTCGATGGGGGACAAGTATACGTTGTTCATGGCGCCGGACAAGGTGATGTGCATGCTCTTGTGAGGGGAGTGCTCGATGCTGTCTGAGACAGCCCGGATGTTCTGGCCCGCCAGGACAGACGCCTAGATGTTGACGACCACATTGAAATTGGTGGTGGCCCACGGGCCGCGGGGGATGCACTTGACGAAGTTGGTCGTGGAGTTGGGAGCTTCGCAAAAGTTGTTGGCAGGCTCCATGGCCACGCACATGCCCGACACGACGAGCCGAAGATGAACACGGGGGACCTTGACAGGGTACTGGCAGACCTGCCTGTTCTGCGTGGCAGTGCAGCCTAGCCGTGTGTTTGCGCCGCTGCGTTGGAAATCCACTTTTGTGGATTTGTAACCGAACAGTCTGATTGGTTGTTGTCTGCATACAATTACCAAGTTGACGCTCAAGGAGTACTTAGCCTGTGAAGTGCTTACGTTACTGAATGGTACATACTAGGCCCCTAAACCAGATACAGCCTTCTACTGCGAGAATATCAGTGGGCCAGGATTGAACAATGTATCTCACTGAAACAGTCACTGACGCACCAATTGCGTGATCATACCGAAATTGTATCTGAGAGCATCTCCAACGGTGGTTTCTATTTCTAAAAATACAAACTATGCACCCCACCGGCGGTTTCTATTTCTATTTCACCCCTCTCGAGTTTCTAAATCCAAGAAAATAGAAACTCATGAACAAGGGTTTCTATTTCACAATCCATGGGGAAAGGTTCCAAGTGGAGTGCCGGCGAAGACGGCCAACTCGCTCGCTCGTGGGTGTGCACGTCAGAAGACCCTGTGAAAGGGGCTGATCAGTCCACTGAATCGTTCTGGGCCAGCATACGCGCACACTGGACCGCAGCATGCGGAGGAGATGGGCGCACGCCGCAGGCATTGAAGAACCGTTGGGCAATTTTGAACAGGTCTGCGCAAAAGTTTGCTGGATACGTTGCCCAAGTCAAGGCGCGGCGTGAGAGCGGCAAGACCGACGAAGACATGTTGGACGATGCCCGAGTGCTGCACCTATCGTTGGAGCGTGAGGTCTTTCAGCACGAAGAAGTTTGGCGCACGTTGAACTCCTGCCCAAAGTGGCAACAAGTTTCACCTACAAAGGCAGCAAAGCCATCTTCGCAGCCCGGCCAAGAAGTGGCGCAGGCTTATGACGCGCCTTCCGCACGTCCTGTTGGCTGCAAGCAAGCCAAGCGCAAAGCAAGCGAGGTGTCAGCGACGGACATCAAACTGCAAGACCTTGTGCAAACGCAGAACGAAAAGAACAGGCTTTTTGCCGACTACATGCTGCTCCAAATGTTGCAAAAGTCAACCTCCCCACAGGACGAAGCCATGCTTTCTCAAATGAAGGACGACTACCTTGCAAAGCGAAGTCGTAGTGCAAAGGCATGTGAAGATGAAGAGGTTGTCTGATGTAATCTCATAAATACATGTTGCATCTTTCATTGTCGTCTTTTACAGCCAAGTCTTACAGCCAAGTCTTCTAATCATGACTACCGCAGAAGGAACTTGTGCACACAATCACGAAGGATGATGGCAAAGTGTAGGGAATGAGTGAAGCGAAAAATTGGGGGTGCAGGACGCGGTTGAGACTTGCAAAACAGACAAATCAAGTACTCTTGTTACATATTATTCTTGGTCACCTTTTGCGTGCCACAAGTGCTCAACCAGATCACGTCGTAGTTCATTATGTCCCGTTGCATCGCGGACACGGGCCATGTTAATTGTGAACATGTTTAGATCACACGGCACGAACGGAACAGTTCCATTTGGGCATCGTAAGTTTTCCACAACGCTTCCAGTCGCAGCATCAAACTCAATCACCATGTTGTGCATGATAACGCATGCTTTTACGATTGTTGCCATGTCTTCTTGAAACCACAGCTTGCAA